TGCGATAGTCTGGCAACCTGTCCAGAGGGTACCCCGCATCTTGCCCAGTGTATGCTGGGATAGGCTCCAGCACCCCCACAACCCCAACAGGATAAGTAGTTATGGAAAGTGAATGAATGAAAGTTTCCAACCAAATGTAGAGCAAATTTTGACCAAATTACCTGGCAAACAGACACAACACCACTTTATCTTGTTAAAACAACACTTACCTGGATTAACTTTTATGAAAAACACTTCATTCTTCACCTCCCTCTGGAGGTGTTGTGGGCCTCATCAAAACACCAGTGAAGAAGGGTTCCCACCTGATGACCCTTAAGAAGCTTTTACCCCCCCTTAACCCCTACCCAATCCCCTAGCATGGCTCCAACTATTACTCACAATCACAAGTATGTGCAGCAACAATTGACCAGGCAGGTAAATTCCACCTTGATTCTCTCCTATTATTAAATAAAGTTTTATTATTAAAGAATAAAATCAATAAACCACGTTCTGCAACAGTATGGCCAGTTTTTGTGTTGGCTGTCCTGTACAGTTGATTAAATGTCACTTATGCCCCTCTGGTTCTCACCCCTCAATAAGAGTTTTTGGGTTGAAAATCCCTTTGTTTTAATTGAAACTTGAGAGTGGGACTTTGACGAAAATCACTTACCTGTAAAACTTCAATTAGTAGCCTGGGCTAGTATTTACTTAAATCACTGAACTCAACAGGCCTGTATTTGGGACAGGCTTCCATATGGGGCAGGCCTTTAAATCCTGTTACACAGAACGGTTTCTCAGCAAAGATGTGAAATACAATCAAATTGTTCATTTAAACTAGTATGAATAATACGTATATAAAAATTAGGCTTCAAGAAACCTATCAATTATCTGTTATGTTATGACACTTGTTTCACAGCACCAGAGGATTATGGCACCCAACATACCAACACATAACCACTTTATCCTGTTAAAACAATATTCACAACTTGAATTAATCTTTACGAAAACACTTTTGATTCTTTTGATTAGTGGACCCTTATGGACCAAATAAATAACTTACTGGGTAGTCAAGTAATGGACACATATTCTGGTTTTATGACAGCTTCAGAAGATGGGAGTCACCGATTGTTTTTCCCAGTGCCAGTAAATATGAATGAATTATGGTCTTCTGTGGTGCTCATGGTTTCAGTAAAATGAACTGAACTGAGCTAACAATGCATAACATCTCCATGTTGGCAAAAGTTTACACACATATTTATACGTGGGATCTAAACTGCTAACTAATGTTAGCTTAAGTGGGTAATACAAAATCTGGTTTTATACATCCAAGAACTTCTATAAAAATGAACAACTACACAACCAGACCGAGTGTCTAATTGAGATAGGCCTTTATTTGTCAAAATGTGTAGCTGCACCAGGCTAGTAAAAGAGACTGGGCATTTAACTGGTACTCGGCTTTTATTACAGTTTTACGGTACGTATATTTTTTGGGGGAAATGTCAGTAAATAATTGTATTTTGGGAAATTGTATGTTAAGTGCTAAACAAATAGGACATGAAATCCCCATGAGTTGTATGGCACTTTTATCTCTGTAGTTTTTCTTAAGAATTAAGAGGTCATAGATAATTAAATGAATACTTTAACGACACTAATAACAAGCAGAAAAGCTATTTAGAGAAACTGGGGAAGAGTAGCTTCCTCACCTCATTTCTGCAGACATCTTCTAAATGGAATTGGCAGTGAAATGGAAATGGAAATGGAATTACAAATCAATCAATCATCAGGAAAGAATGATGGGAATATTATTGCATTGTTTTTTTTACTGTTATTATTCAATGTTCAAAATGTCATGCTGATAAAAGAAAATTGAGATTGCAGTGTGTAGCTGTGATAATAGAACACCAGTAAACCTTCACCCAATCACATTTACCCTATAAAGGGTTAAAACAGGTCAGTGATGCTCATCTGATAATTGATTCAATTACATTATCACAAGAAAAAAGGGTTTCTATTTTCAGACTAGGAGAGTCAAAAAAGCCACAAATAGCAGGAGTCAATTCATGTCAGTGATGCATCTTACATAAATTATGTTTAACATTTTTTCCTGAGGTTAGGAAGATACTACAGTGCTACTAAAGCCAATTAAGACAAGAGATTAAATTCAGTTGTGGGGACATTTATCATCAGTAACATTTTTATTAAATGAAGGAAAAGTCACAACTAGTAGCAGGGTTTAATAGGTGCTTTAAGCGGGCAAAGAAAAATTAAGTGCTGAACTAAGACACATTAATACATCTAATAATTAGTTTCTGCTTCTCACCGAGACAGAGGAGTTTTTAAAGTAGAGAGCTTGAGCTCAATGTGCAGAGGCTCTCATAAATTAGAGTCACTGTCTCTGCAAAACCCCTGACTATGTTCAGTGCCAACATTTTTGATTATGCCTTTCAGTATATACTGTGTGGAGGTGTATGAAGGGGGATGTATTACGTCAGTCGAAAAACAAAACTGAAAACATGTGAATGTTGTTTTTCCTGTGGTGATATATTCCTCTGCATCAAGTAAATGGCAGGCTTCCCAAGTTAATAGTAGTAATGAAGAAATGTCTTGAAAACAGTGACACTGTTAATACACTAGTGTTTGTTATAGAGACATTAAATGTTATGATAAATATTGTATTGTCATTTTTCTAAGCACTGTCCTTTTCTGCTGGATTTGTGGTTGATGCGTGATTCTAGCCTCTTTTTAGGTTGAGCCCAAGCAGCAACCTCTAAGGCTGACAAGAGAAGCCAGTGTCGAAGTGCCAAAACCTGCAGTTAATCGAATGTCAACTTGAGGCTGGCTCCAAAATAGAGTTAATCCCAACAGACCCCCATGTTAAAATGCCCAATTTTACTGCAGAAATAAACATGTTTACAACCTGGTCCATAAATGGTTTTGGTCTCTATACCTAATTTCATCATTAATTAATAATTCTTATATAACTCAACTGTTTACATTATATTAATGCCCAGAGTTATACATTTCTATTTAAGGGTGGGGCCACTTGAGTGACAAGATGTCTGTCCACGGCACTAACCAAAATGATGACAGGTGAAACAGTGAACTCAAGGCTTCAAAACAGCAGTCAACAAACCAACTGGTGATGTCACAGAAGCTATGTCCGTTATTTTTACAGTCTATGATTAAGCCTTGAGTAGTGCATGCAATATGACTTTCAGGCTGCAGGTACAACCTCCACCAATAGCATCTCGTGACCGGAGAGGCAAAGAAAGTCAGCATTTTGCCCGATCCCCAGTGGAGTTATACCAAGCATGTCCACAGTCCAGCCTGGGGGCCAATTGTGGTCCACAGACCGATTTTAAAAAGCCTGTAGCTTGTTGTTCAAAATAAACTATGTGAGGCCCACCACACAATTTTGATTAATCAAGCAAGATCACTTTTCATTTTTTCTGGTCACCTATCAATGCTAGGACTGTCATAGTGTGTAGACATGCACCAAGTATGTCTACAAGGAAGTGTGCTGTGCTTTGAAGCCAATTTTTACAGTGGCCTAACAGCAGTACTGCAATGTCTGGGATCTGTCACATGATGCCACTGAGCCCAAAAAGTATTTTTCCCACAGACCTTCATTGGGATCGAGATGTCTGTAAGTCAGTCAATTGATTATTTTGCCCATCGAAATCCCTAGGAAATGACTCGTTCCACTATCAGGATTTAATCAATTCAGTTCCATAACATTTCAAAAGTCTAGAAGAGCCATAGGATTGAATCATTTTATCCCCGTTAAAGTCAACAGACAGCTAAACCAGGAGTCAGCTGCTCGGCCAGCAGAAGTTGGCTGCTAGGCCGCACTTGGCCATGCTCTGCAACCGTAAGTCTCTGGTGTACCTGCTCTATGGGCTCTATGCTCAATGATGCAGTAGCAGTGCCGATCATTCAAGTAATTTCATTCCACGGTAACAGAGCTTTTTTGGCTTCATCCACTATTGTGATGTCAGGATTATAATTTGTAAAGTAACATTTCTGTTGTAAAAATTACTGTTGCTGTGCTAGAAACATTTAGTTCTATTTAAAATATTCACTATTCATGTTCTGAATATATTCTATTTAAATGTATATATTTTCTAAAACACAATTATTTAGAAATGGAAAAGAATTTATACGAGTGTCGATAAATTCCCAAACTGATAAAGAGTTTCGTTAAGAGTAGCAGCATCAATAAAATCTTAATGATACCCATCCCTAGACATGACCACAACAAAGTAGCATGGGGGGCCTGTAACAGTGGGGGGCGCTGCCTAAAAAAAAAGCAGCAGAAAGTTGAATACTTTTTCACTGAAAGATGTCACAGTTGTGTTTGTCTCATTTATGTGGGATTTTTATGTATATTTTTTTAATAACACTTTTGACGTGTGAGGCAGCTGGTCCCCTGGTGTTTTCACATGTTCTGATCCTGCCCTCATTCAAAAGAGTTTGGACACCTCTGAATGTAATATCTGAACACAGGATTTCTGCAGATATGAAGTACTGATCCGATACTGATACCCGATGAATGGATTTTAGAGTGACATTGACAAGGAAACTGTATTTATTGGGGATCTGTCAGATCATCATGGCAGACATCTGCATAATAGGTTTGGTATCAGTGCCTATACTGATCCAGTGTATCAATTTGGTGCATCCCTGATGGTTAAGTTTGTGTTTTTTAAGTGAACTTTAACGGTTAGATTGTGACAGGACACAAACTCTGGTCACCCACACACACCCAACCACCATCCTGACCTCCACACCTCACATGAAAGCCACCTTTCCTGTATTGACAGGGAAGGTTGACACTAATGTTCATCTTGCGCTGCACGATCATCCAGTATGAGCATAAATTCTGCAGATACTGGGACAGATTCTTCCCATATCATTCCTGTGCACTGCATGCATTTCCTACATTTAGCCACTTAAAGTCAGTGCTTCATCACAAAATGCAGTCCAGCAGACAGGAGACAACAGAGAAAGTAAAAACTGACCTTAGCCCATTGAAGAGTTGCTTGGACTTGTCCAGAAGATAGCAGAAATCTGTGACAGTCTTCCTTTCGCCCAATGGAATATCATCCTCAGTTTCAGCTCCAGTCATGACACTGACTTTTCACACCTGATTTCAAACAAAAGTACATACTTTACATAGTAGACTGAGGACAACTACTGCACTAAAAAAAATACTGGCTATTTAAAAATGGTTTAAAAATTTGGAATGAGTGGCAACTAGACCAAAGTACAATTGGTACCACTGTTAACTTGTGATTTGTCAACATATCAAGCTAATAAGATATACATTTCAAACAGCAGCAATACTGACATCTATCATGTTAATATCCAAACTATTGCGACTAAACAGACGTTACTAGTTGCAGATATCTGAGTGTCTTACTGGTGCCCTAGTTAAATATGAATAGAAATAAGAAACTATGGCGGAAACGTGTCACATGGTCACCTTTTATAGGTTGACTTGGGCTGTCCCAGATTTCACTCTCACAGTGGCTGCAACCTCCAGTTTGCTAAGATGGATGTGCAATCAGGTCAAGGCAGTACACAGTCAGGTCATGGCGCTCAGCTAATGTTGAGCCTCATTAAAACAATTTACTGCGATGAAAAGTTTATTATGCAGAGGAAATTACTATGGCTTCATCGCTACAAGCCTTCGGAGACAGGGTGTCTAAGTGTGCCTATGTATGATGGAGGGCAGCTGTAAGTGTCTCCAGGGAAAGTCTGCAGGTTAGCTGCTGTACATCAAGTGAACCAGCTCTAACAAATGCCCTGCTCTAAAACCTTCAGCTTACATATCATGCTATCATTAAGAAGGATTGTTAACACCTGTGTGGCTTGTACTCAGTAACAAACAGTTATTTTGCTCTAAACTTATTAAATATGCTGACATCTTCCATGCAGGGTTAAAAAATTCACATTGGACAGCTGACAGCTCTCATTCAATTAAAGAGAAGGATCTCTTTAAAGGACTGTTTGTTACTTTTGAGGGAAACGGGTGGCGCAAAAAAGGGAAGGCAAGTAAAATATTTTTAAAGCACTGGGGAGGGACTTACGTTTTTTATTTTGGCTTCAGGGAGGGACATACAACTTTAAATGGCTGTATTTTAATTATTTCAAATATTTTTTTATTTGAAATACCCTCTGAACCACAGATGTTTTATTAAAGAATTGCCACATTTACACCATTTATATCACAGCCAGAAAATGTAAAAACAAATTCTTTTCTGTTGGATTTCAACAGTCCTTGAACACGTCATAGGTTTCCATCTTAAAAATCACTTAATTCTACATGTCTCATTTAAAATTTGACAAAAATAAATGATTTACACCAAACAGATCCTGTCAAAAACATTAAATTCTGCACAGGGCCTTTTCAACTCCAGTATTTTGTAATAAAGGTGTAAATTTAATGCACCAAAAAGTAAGTCTTTAGCATCTAATAATGTCTGCATGCCAAGTTACCGATATTGCCACTTATGTGTACAGATTTTTACTGCTTGCTTTTTACATTGGCTTCAATAGCTATGAATTTAAAAGAAAAAAACAGTTATTTATGGAAAAGAGGGGGCCATGCATTTTCTACCCGTCAGTCTGGGAGGCTCAAGGAAAAGTATGTGTAGCTTTAGGGAGGGTCAGGATAAAAAAAAAAGAAGAAGAAAATAATTGAATAAAAAGTCAAACTCCAGGCACCCCACTGCTCTGATAAGTAAAGAACTGTCCCTAATGTGTTTATGACAGGACGTTTGCTCCTGGAATGAGCAAAAACTCGAACGTTAAAATAAACCCTTTGCGACAAGGCAAAATAAATAAATGATACCTCTGACTGAATTTTGAAGAGAAGCATGTCATTACAAACATGCTAAAAAAATCACCAGGACTCCGTCAGCTGGTGCATTGTCTCTCAGTTATAAGCTATATTTAACATCGGTTTAGCTAACTCAGATGTAAGGTAACTAATGTTGACAGCAATGAACTCGGTTAACATTAATCTACCTAACTAGCTATTAATAAGACCAAGCTTAAATGGGCCGTAAGCTGTAACATAACAATAGCTCTGTGTCTAACTAGCCTTCTGTCGTCGCCAACATCAGCAAACTGAAGTCAGGACACCACTCCGTCATTAACTTACAGATTAAACATCTGGATATTAATGTCTGGATACCAACGACAACCAGCGGTAGCCAATATGTGTCCGTTGAGAAAGACGGTCACACTGCAGCGGCTTTAACAGCCTTTGCTTGTGTAATTCACATTTCTCCTTACCTCGCCAGCCGGCTAACGTTGATGAACAGGAGTACCACAGTGGTGCTTCTCAAAAATCACTGAAAAAGCCACGACGAGCTGTGTAGGTAAAGCGCGCCTTTCTTGGCATCTCAGTGTGATACTGACACTGAACCGCTGTCCGACGACTCGTGTCCCCCCGCAGCGTGGATGAGACTGCTGTCAGTTGAATCGTAAATGCTAGAGTACTCTGTAGGGAAGGATGTTGTCCTGTGACAGGTCAGGAGGCAGGAGGCAGGGCGAGGACAGCCGCTGGCTCCGCTCCACTATCACTGGCTAGCTACTTCCGGGGCAACATTTTCAAAATAAAAGCTTCCCCGCTGATAAAACGCCTACATGTGTCCAGGGGTCAGTCCCATGGTCAGAGACCTTGTGGATGCCTTCAGGGACTGGTGCAGTAAGTGCTGTCTCCACCTGAAACAGCCAAAACCAAGGAGATGGTGGTGGATTTCAGAAGAAAGAGGTCACCCCATCAACCAGTCTCCATACAGGGGGAGGCCATTTAGGTGGTGCACACCTACAAACATCTGGGGGTCCTCCTGGATGATAAGTTGGACTGGTCCTCTAACACTGACACCCTCGACAGGAGGGGGCAGAGCTGCCTGTTCTTCCTGAGGACACTGAGGTCCTTTGATGTATGTGTGGAGATGATGAACATGTTCTATCACACAGTGGAGGCTAGTGCACTCTTATATACTGCAGTGTGTTGGGGAGGCAGCTTGATGGACAAAAACAAGCGTTTGGACAAGCTGGTTAAAAAAGCTGTCTCAGTGCTCGACAGGAGTCTGGACCCACTAAGAACTGTGGTGGAGAGGGGAACATTAAACAAACGTAAAGCTATAATGGACAATAGCAGACACCCTCTCCACAGCCTCCTGCAGTGACAGAGGAGCAGCTGCAGCAGTCAGCTCATCTCACTGCGTTGCAGAAAAGAGCGTTTCAGGAGATCCTTCGTGCTCGCGGCAATAAGACTGTTTAACAGCCTCTGAATCCAGTCACACACACACGAACAGGACTGTGGAATGGACAATTTTATTTTGATTTAATTTCTCTTTATGCACTTATTCTTAACTTATTGTATTTTATGTCTGTTTTAATAGCACTGTGTTGTTAATGAGGGGAAGTGTGGTAGTTCTATTTTGTCTTTTATGAGTTGCTGGACAGCTGAATTTCTATATAAACATAAATGGAATAAGGATAAATTAAGTTTTTCCTACTCTATTCTATTCAATTCTAAGAACATATTGTTTTCAGAAGGTACATTGATAACATACTCATGGGGTTTACAGGTTCTGAAAATGAACTTAAGGCATTCAATGACATTTCACTATGGAATACATTCAAGAAAACATTCACTTTTTGGATCTTTCGATCACTATTGATGACAATAAAAAACTAGAGACATCTATTTATTGCAAGGAAACTGACAGAATACATCATATTGCACTCTACTAGTTTTCACCCTGACCACATTATCAGCAACATCCCACATGGTCAGTTTGTAAGATTGAGAAGAATATGCAGTGAAGATGATTACCAAACTAAGGTGAAGGTAATGTCCCAACGTTTTAAACAAAGATGATATGACCACCAACGCTTGTTGACCAAGCTATTAAAAAAGCTAATGAAAAAAGAGGGAAGAAATACTTAATCATTGCCCTAAACATGCAGAAAACAGAGTTACTTTTGTATCTGAACATTGTACAGCATCTATGCAAGTCAAAATGATTATAAACAAACATTGGAAAATCCTAGAATGTGATCCAAGTTTGGACCATTTGTCATCCTCTAAACCATGCTTTTATTTTAAAAGACATAGCAATGTCAGAGATTTTGTGGTTATTTCTTTTTACAAGGAATTGAGAATTGCCGAGCATAAGGCTGCCATTAGAAATGGGAACATGGATTATGCTATTGCTAGACACTACAAGGAGAAAACCCATGCGTCAGCCACTTGAATTTGTTGGCATTAAAAAAGTACAACCCAATCTAACAAGGGGTAATTTGATCAACCAAATTTTGAAAAGGGAAGCATTTTGGATCCATGAATTGAATTCAACTGAGCTACATGGACTTAATGAAATACAGGATTTGAGCCCTTTTCAGTGATATAAATATTAACTTATATAGGGATCGGGATCGGGGTCAATCTGGTCTTTTGGATATACAAGAATCTGGCACAGTTTTGTGTGTGGTTTTAATTTATGTGTTTATGTGGTGTTTGTGCATAACTCTGAATATGCTCTATAACCCCCCGATGTATGGTAGGGTGACCATGCCCCGGATTTCCTTCTTTGTTTCTCTCTTCTTCGTTTCCTCTTCTCTGTTGTTATTCTCCTTGTTTGCCTCTGTTTATAGCCCATCCTGGGTATTGACAACATGTGAGAGCATTTTTTTATGTGTTCTTCCTCCTCCTTTCTGTCCTTTTCTTCTGTTCTGAAGCTAGCACAGGCACCTGGCGCCAGGGGGCACTGTCATTCCACCACTCAGGTGGAATGACAACCTGGATAAAACATCTACAGGACATGTCACCACAACATCACATGATGCTTCTGATGATAACGACAGACGCAGTTGTCGAAACTGTCAAGATATGACAAAACAACACTTAAGCCTGTAAAAACAACCATATCAAGCTAATTTTTTGTAATTTTGTAATCTATTACAAGAATCATCAAACGATGGATACACCTGTGAGATTCTGACTTAAGACAAAGTATGTGTACCATCTTGAACTGAATTAGGCCATGCCTAGCACATACTGCAGTGTATTCATGAGAATATATCTGACCACTCAACAGCTTGTGTATTGTAAATTTAGATCAACCTGCCATGCCCCTTTCAATGCATCAAAAGATGACATGGCAAGATTGAATTTTAATTCCAACTTTCAAGTTTTATTGACAGTGCAGAACTCACACATGAATATTTACAAAACTGAATGAAAATAAAATGTATTCTTTTATGTGAATAATGCATAAATCTCAATATTCATTGATACATTTTAAGCAAAAACATTCCTCCAGTTCTCAAAATGAACTGGATGCAAATATGATGTAGTCCTCCAATTTCAAAAGGCGTATCTCCAATACATTTAACTTTGCAAACATGAGTTATTGCATTAATGTTAGTCTTTCCATCTTGTTATGTAGTGTAGAAAGGTATGATGGTATTTGTTGTGAAGGGCAGGTCTGGACGAGGAGCTGTCTGAGGAGGAGCAGGAAGGAGGCACTGCTAATGGGGAGTGCTGTTACCATGAGAGGTTGCACTTGGTCTGCAATGGTCTTTTGGTGAATGGAGCACATCAAGTGGCATCAGCATCAGGGTCTAGCAGAACATTACACTGTAACAAAATGACCTACTCACTCATGTATTTACCACACGCTACATTGGTCCATCAACTTTAGCTGCAATTGATAAGTGATTGCCTGTAGTCCTGACTCCTTTCATTGGAGCAACAGGCCCTGTTCAAGACTCTCCTGCATCCAGTTGCACATTTTTCTACCAAAATAAGACAGTCTAAAAGGTCCACACCTTGGTTTACTGAAGAAACATGTGCTCACCTTTAAATTCAAACTCACGTAAAGGGGGACACGAGGACCCAGGTGACATTGGCCAGTCAAAGTGAGAGGACCTGAGCTGTTAAGTGGCTCATGCATGTGAGCCTCATTCTTGATGTGTGAACACTCCTGTGCACATGCTTGCCTGGTAAGCATGTTTATTTTATTTTTAAGATAGCATAGGGGTGCAAACACACCCCAAGGTATTGGTTTTTGTAAGTATTATTGAAGTTGTTGTATTTTTTATTGCAAAAATGACAATTCATAAATATGGGTCTGCCAACAACTTATTGTTTCTTTTTGTAGAGGGTCCTAACCGTCCAGGGGAAGTGGCAGAGGAGAGGTATAAGTGTCTTTCAACTAGAAATTACTCCTTTCTAAAAAAAAATGTAGGTTAAGTTTAGAGGTCTCTGAGAGTGTTTCACAGAATGTTTGTGAATATGACCCAAGGTCGATGCCTTGAGCTCTTTGTCACATTCCTAGGGCCAGTTCTTATGGTGTGGCACCATGCCACACCATAAGATTGTTGTCCATTTGTTGTCCATTATCCTGCTGGGAGGACCAGTGCCATCGAGGAGTACTGTTGCCATGAAAGGGCACTTGGTTGACAACGGAGTTGGGGGAATAGAGTGTCTCAAGTTGCATCCATATGAATGCCAGGACCCAAGGTTTCCCAGCAGAACATTCTATTTTAATTAAATGATCAAAGTTCACTTAACCTGTTCGTGGAATAAAATGTGGATGATCGATGTATGTTTACAGTCTATGATCTGATCATCCTGTGTGTCCATTCTGTAATTTCAGCATGAGTTAATACTTGATATGCTTTAAATATTGGTAAAAATGTGTGTGCTATGTATAGGAAAATGTATGAAAATATGTTTTAATGCATAGTACAATGTAGAACATATACAATTGTTTAAAGACAACTGTGCAGATAAACCTAGATGTCAGATTCAGATGTCACCAATTCTTCAGATTTGGGACAAATCATGTCCTACCAAAAAAAACCCCAACAAAACCCCTTAAAATTGCAACTTTTCAATCATTATATTTGAAGGATTTATATGTATGAAAAAATGTGATCTATAAAATATTTTGATCTGCTTTAATTTTTTTAATTCCTAAACTGTCCCTGTGCCAGAAAACATTCAATTCACAACTTCAATTTAAAAAGTGTTATAAGCCTTTAAAATGTAAAACAATCCATACTTACTGATAAACATCAGTGTAAAAATGTACTGCTATAATCATCTTTGTTTTAAATTTTTTTTTTTTTTTTGTGAAAATGTTGACCCTTGGAAGAAGTGTCACACATTTTTGTCAACCCCACCAGATTTCTACAAAAACATAATTTAATCAGCCATAAAAGGGGGTAGCTATACCCCAAGGACTCTTGTCTCACTTCCTGGTTTCCAAAGAGGTGGGAATGCTGCTCAAGTACTACTACCACATTTGCAAATCCTGGAATGGTGAAGGCATGTCCTGCCCTACTCTGGTGAAGGTATGACCATACCCTATGACTGGCAAGTACTTAGTGCCTTCATTGGTTGGATTGGTCAGGTTTATGCAGGAGGAAAATGTCAGGGTAAGCCAGTCAGAGGCAGAGTAAGGTGGGCCATCCCCTCACCACCCTAGGATTTGCAAATTTGTGTACAGGTAAGCTTTCATTTTTTGATAAATTCATAAAATGAAAT